AACCATATTTGTCTCAACCAAATTAAGGTTTCTAATGGCTTGAGGCAAAATCTTTGTCTAACTATGCAAGATATTGGATTTTGAGAGTGCTCAAAACTGTGCCTTCAAAATACCATTTTTCCTTTCAATCAACCCTGTTGTGTGGGGGGTGGTATACAGTAAGTGAAATATCCAATCTGTGTCCTTTTCATGCATCCAGTCTTGGACACCAGGTCTGGTGAAATGCATGCCTTGGTTGCTATCAAAGTGTGGAGGGTATCCATACATGACATGGAGTTTCTCCAAGCCCCTAATGGTGGCTGCTTGGTTTGCTCTTAAAGGAAAGGCTTGCAACAGTCCCATGGCAGTGTATACACATGTTAGTGCATACTTTTGTCTGAAGATTACTGGCAGGGGTCTGATATAGTCTATCTACAGTCTGTCACAGGGGTGGCTGTCTTATGTATATGTCCAGGTGTATGTGGGATGTGGTAGAGATACAGAAAAGGAACAAATTAAGCAGTTTGCTACCGCCGCCACTAAATCTCCATAGCAGAGAGACAATCCTGCTCCCTTTGCTATTTGGCAGCCTGTTCATGCACTGAAATCCCCACTGTGATATGTACCTAATCAACTAGCTCAGTATTCTAATTTTTGCTAGGATGTCTGCCTTCATGTTTCTGGGAGGTGAATCTGACCAGTGTGCTGAAGCAATTAGGGCCACAGTGGGTTCCTGTAGACTTTTCCGAATGTCTTTCCACATACCAGCTGCCCATAAGGATTTTAAAATTATATACCAATCATCTCGGGCCCTTTGGGCAAGCCAAATTGTAAGACCCTTAAGTACTGCCAGACTGTCTGTACAGAGAACTATAGGCGGTGGCTCACGGGTACAAACCAACCATGCAGCTTGGAGTTCTGCCCATTGACTGCTCTGCTGCATTCCCATCTCAAACCAGATACTGTCTATCTGTGGTTGTGCAGCTACTACTGTCCATACACAGGGTTACCTTGGCTCGATGCATCTAAGTACCAAGCATTGTCAGGAATGAGGGCCATGCCTTCATGTACCATTGGAGACATCTCCTGTGGGGGCTCCACAATAGGGGCAGCACTGGACTCATAATGCACTGGCCCTAAGATAGCATGCAGTTCATCTCTTAAGGGATGCATGGAAAAGACACTATGTTGTTGCATGTATGCATGGCACTTTTGTAAAGTGGAGACTTGGGCAATAGCTGATACAGGCCTGGCAAACATTCCTTCTACCTGGTCCTTGATAGGAGACCTGTTCTCCCTGGTACCAGGAAAGCAGCAGTTGAGGATTCAACTGGTGGCAAGACCTTCTATATCCCCAGGACCTGTTGTTCAATTGGGAAATAGCAGGTTTCAGTACCCTTCCATAATTGTGACTAAAATCCTAAAGGAACTGCTTCCCTATGCTGGACTTGCCAGAGGGTCCAACGGTTATATCCAAAGACACTGATATTCCAGGAAGCAGGGACCCTAAGCCTTGTGTCTAAGCCACTAGTATTTTATTCTTCTCAAATACTTCCTCTTGTTCTGTATCCCAACACCAATTAAATCTCTTTCTTTCTAGTCAGTATAAATGTGGGATGAAAACCCACCAATTTCACAAAAGACCTAGAAAACATAACTATTTAACTGTTTTAGGAGTAGAAAATTGTATTTTGTCAATGAGTGTGCCTGGGTGTCTTACCCAACCAAGTGACCCCTAGAAACTTTACAGCTGATTCTGAGCCTTGTATCTTTTGCAAATTGATGGCCCATCCCCTGGATTGGAGTAGGATGTACAATGCATAGAGATGTTGCTATATAGCAATAACAAGTCTCCAGAAATTAGCATAATATCAATATAATATTAGCCTGTGAATCAGGGTGTACAGTGATGCTAAGGAAGGCGTTAGCCAAATCTGACACAGCATGATAAATGCCTACATTTTGTATTATTTTTCTCTCTCAACAAGAAGATGATATTGTTTCACATGAATAATTCACTGTGGCAGAGGGAGGTGCCAGGTTGCCATTTTGCCTCTCCTCTTATAATAGCTTTTACTGCTCAAACTCATAGGCATAATTCACCACAGACATTTGTAAAGTGCATCCCAAAAGATGTCCATAACTGAGATGTTTTCTAAGATAGGTGAGATAAAGACAGTGTAGTAAGCAGGGGAGACTCCATCCAATACCAAGGAGGATTGTTCACCCCTACAATAACCATCTATAACTGCCCACTTACCAGGGTATCTCTCTGGGTTCCCATGAATTAAGGTGCATTCTGTACCTCTGGCCGCTAAAGCTAAGGTTCTCTGCTTGTGTTTTCTTTGTTAGGTGAGGGGCAGGGACTTGCACAGATTATAAGCTCCATGTGGGGTCTCTGGGTCACCCCCTATTGCTGGTACATGAAGGCAACCTTGGGACCACCCCCAGTCTGTAGGCCAGAGAGGAGTTCACCCCTGGAACACAGAGACTGGAGTTCTTTTACCTAGGATTTCTTCTCCTTTTCCCTCTTCTGGCAGGGCACTAGGAAGGGAGCCAGGTCTTTCCAGAGGCCCACCAATACTGCATTTGGTTGTCAATCTATATTTTCTCTCTGCCCCAGCTGAGATCAGATCATACCACATTTGTTTCCTGGTGATCCTAACTGGGCCTTTTTGGCCTCCCTATTTTGGTCCAGCAGACTTTGTTTCTCGCTTTTCCCCCTTTAGTGATCCAGCAGACCTCATCTCTTCCTTTTTCTATCCCTTCGAGATCAGCTATAGTTTCTCTCAAATTATATACATCTTGTCCCCCAAGGAGGTTTGAAAGGGACATGAGGCCGTGTCAGCCTGGGAGCATTCTTGTGACAACTTTTCATGCCTGCAATAAACACAGCCTTATCTGGCCCTTCGAATTGTTGGGCATATATAGCCTGGCACATGTCCAGCTCCCTTAGATGTGTCTGTGCTTCTTCTAAAGACTGCCATGGTGGACTGTGTCCAAGGAAGTCTCCTTCATTTGGCCAAGCTTCTCTCATGGCCATTATAATCCAACCCACAAGGCTATGATTACCCTCGATAATGCTCACATTGTACAAACACTATCTCAAAGTGAGATGAGTGGCCTTATATTATATTATATTATAATTATTTTGCATACATTTTCTTCTATGAGATTTGTAGTTTTGCACTTACATTTAGGTCTTTGATCCAAGTTAAATATTTTTTTCTTTGAAACAGGATCTTACTCTGTTGCCCAGGCTAGGTTGCAGTGGTATGATCATGGCTCACTGCAACTTCAACTTCCCCAAGATCAAGTGATCCTCCCATCTCAGTCTACAAAGTAGCTGGGACTACAGATGCATGCCACCATACCCAGCTACTTTTTGTATCTTTGGAGAGATCAAGTCTTGCTATGTTGCCCAGGCTGGTAGCTAGACTAAGAAAAAAGAGAGAGAAGAGCCAAAAAAATAAAACTAGAAATGAAAATGGAGACATTACAATTCATACTGCAGAAATTCAAAGAATCATTAGAGGACACTATGAGCAACTGTATGCCAATAAATTAGAAAATCTAGAAGAAATAGACAAATTCCTAGACATATAAAACTTATCAAGATTGAAACAGGAAGAAATCCGAAACCTGAGTAAACTAATAACAAGTAACAAAATTGAAATCGTAATGAAAAGTGTACCAGTAAAGAAAAGCCTGGGACCGAATGGTTTCACTGCTGAATTTTTCCATACATTTAAAGAAGAACTAATATCATCTAATATCATTTCTACTCAAACTATTCCAAAAGACAGAGGAGGGGAGAATACTTCCAGACTCATTCTATGAGGCCCATGTTATCCAGATACCAAAGCCAGCAAAAGATACAAAAAAAAAAAAAGAAAAAGAAAACCAACAACAAAAACTACAGGCCAGTATCTCTGATAAATATTGATGCAAACATCTTCAACAAAATTCTAGCAAAACAAATTCAACAATACATTAGAAAGAACATTCATCATGACGATGGGATTTATCCCAGGGATGCAAGAATGGTTCAACCTGTGCAAATCAACGAGATACATCACACCAACGGAATAAAGGGTTAAAAACCATATGATCATTTCAATTGATGCTGAAAAAGCATTTGATAAAATTCAACATTTCCTCATGATAAAAATCCTAAAAATACTGGTACAGAAGTAACATACCTCAGCATAATAAAAGCTATATACAACAGACCATCAGCTAGTATCATACTGAATGGAGGAAAACTGAAAACCTTTCCTCTAAGATCTGGAACATGACTAGGATGCCTACTTTCACCACTGGTATTCAACTGGAATCCTAGTTAGAAAAATCAGACAAGAGAAAGAAATAGTGGGCATACAAATTGGAAAGGAAGAAGTCGAATTATCCTTATTTACAAATGATATGATCTTATATTTGGAAAAACCTAAAGACTTCACCAAAAAACTATTAGAATTGATAAATCCAGCAAAGTTGCAGGATTCAAAATCAACATACAAAAATCAGTAGCATTTCTGTATGACAACAGTGAACAACCTGAAAAAGAAACTAAAAAGTAATCCCATTTATAATAGCCAGAAATAAAATTAAATACCTGGTAATTAAACAAATAAGTGAATGACCTATATAATAAAATCTATAAAACACTGATGAAAGAAATTGAAGAGGACACTAAATAATGGAAATATACTCCATGTTCATGGGTTAGAAGGATAAATATTGTTAAAATGTCCATACTACCCAAAGCAATCTACAGATTCAATTCAGTCCCTATCAAAATACCAATGTAAAAGGAAAATAAAATCTTAGGGCCCCAAAATTACTAAGCTAAAGGAAAAAGTCAAGCTGGGAACTGCTTAGGGCAACCCTGCCTCCCATTCTATTCAAAGTCACCCCTCTGCTCACTGAGATAAATGCATGTCTGATTGCCTCCTTTGGAAAGGCTAATCAGAAACTCAAAAGAATGCAACTATTTGTCTCTCATCTACCTGTGACCTGGAATCCCCCTCCTTGCTTGAGTTGTCCCACCTTTCTGAATGGAATCAATGTTCATTTTACATATATTGATCACTGTCTCATGTCCCCTTAAAGTCTCATGTCCCCCTAAAATGTATAAAACCAAGTTGTGCTCTGACAGCCTAAGGCACATGTAGTCAGGACCTCCTGAGGCTGTGTCATGGGCATGTATCCTTAACGCTGGCAAAATAAACTTTCTAAATTAACTGAGATCTGTCTCAGATTTTCAGGATTCACAGTACAATATCATGTTTTTCATCAAGAAGAATAATGTAATATTGATTAATTCTTTTCTTGTGATGTTAATTGCCATTGCTGTTCAATGGCGAAATCTGTTAGTTCACTGTGGATTGCAAAAGTGTTATAGTCTCAGTCTTTCATTTCTTTTCATGTATTAGCTAAATAATTTCTAGAATAAGAGATTTACCCCTGTCTATTATTTGTCGGTTCCATAGACACTTGTGTTTTGAGAGACTAAACCAAGCATTCACTCACCTACGACCCAGCAATTGCACTCTTGATTATATACCAATAGAAATGCATGCATTTGTGTCCCAAAATATGTGAAAATATTATTTATAGCAGCACAGTTTGTAAAATCTGGATATAACACACATGTTTATCAACAGTGCAGGGACAGAAGAGTGAGCTCTTTGTAAAATGGAGCACTGACAGCCATTGGAGTGAGCAGGCTACGATCACACACAGCAAGACCCAGGACATGAGGTGACTGTATTCAGATCTGACGGATCTCACCTATGGTGTTAGAAATGAAGAAAGTGGCTGCTCTAGCATCGGGGGGTGATTTATGATCAAGTAGAACCTAAGGGTGTTTCCTGGAGGCTGGAAATGCTGTACCTTGGTGTGACTGTTGTTTGTTCAACTGTTCACATTATGAAAATCCATGGCCCACTCATGGTTTGTCCACCTTTCTCCATGCATGTTGTCCTTCATTTCAGTATACATTTCTGATGTTTTGAAACAATTCTCTCTAAGCTAATATAGAATCTCCCTTGCTGGAAGTCTTTAGAAATGCTATATTGAACAAATCAGTGCAATCACTAAAAATCCCAGGAAATAAGTGCCTGTGACTCAGATGTAAAGAGGAGAACCTACAACAAGAGCAGTAGACTTGGGAGCTGACACCAAAACAGCTTTGCTAATGGCTGTTGAGCCAGGAACTAGAAATGAAATCCCACACAGGCCCATGGAAGGCGGGGGTTGTGAAATGATGCCCCAGTAGTGCATGAGTGAATGAATCATGGGCAGTGGCTCATGGGTTTGCTTGCAAGTCAGGAACTTGGGAAAAATAAAGATGAAAAATTAGGGGGTAGAGAGGTTTGCATAGGCCTCTTGCTATGGGCAGACTGTGTGATGATAGTGGTTGCATGTGGATGCCTAACAGAGGGGCTCCAAGGGGCTGGGGCTCCCTGTAATCAGGTGGGCAAGATGGCTTGATGGACGATGCCACTCAGCCGCACAGGGCTTGCTCATGGCGTCTGTGCACAAAGTGGCTGTGGTGGCTGGGATGGATACTGCATGGGCACAGCAACTGACTCGCCACTCACCAAGGCTGACCTGGCAGCTGCCACTGCTGAGAACCCAGCCTGCCAAAAGCAGCTGTTCATTGAACAGAGAAATAAAACAGGCAATGTTAATTAAGAACAAGACAGTGTCATAACAGACAAATATACCACTGCAGATACAGGAGAGATTTAAACAGTCTTGAAACTGAAAAATTATGTCAACAGAAAGACTTATTACAAGTAAAGAAGTTAAAACAATGGTAAAAGGCCAGGCGCGGTGGCTCAAGCCTGTAATCTCAGCACTTTGGGAGGCCGAGACGGGCGGATCACAAGGTCAGGAGATCGAGACCATCCTGGCTAACATGGTGAAACCCCGTCTCTACTAAAAAATACAAAAAAACTAGCCGGGCGAGGTGGTGGGCGCCTGTAGTCCCAGCTACTCGGGAGGCTGAGGCAGGAGAATGGCGTAAACCCGGGAGGCGGGGCTTGCAGTGAGCTGAGATCCAGCCACTGCACTCCAGCCTGGGCGACAGAGCGAGACTCTGTCTCAAAAAAAAAAAAGGTAAATATTCTATTTCCCTTCAAACATATCCAGTTTTATAAATATGCTCATGTATCAAACATATAATGGAGTTATATAAAATATTCAAGATATATAGGGAATCATAGGAAAATCCAAACAACTCAAATTTTTAGGCACAAATAACATTGATTCTAGAACCAGTTAGGAAATCAATAAAGAAAGATTATAGGAATATCACTTTTATATAGTTAGGTGTGAAAATCCTGAGAAAAATATTAGTAGACTATATATACCTGTATGCAATGAATAGACTATATTGACCAAGTTATGTATCCCAAGAATGCAATAATATATAAATTTTAAATCTTTTAATGCATTTCACCACTTAAAGAATTTAAAAACAGAGACAGTCATATTTTAGTAGATGAAGAAATTACTGTAAAAGAAATTCAGCACTCCAACTGACCCACATTTCTTCAGTCATCTCTACTTTTAAGGATTCATGTGATCAGATAGGGCTCACCCAGAAAATCCAAGATAATCTCCCCATCTAAAGGTCCATCCTCTTAATCATGTCAGTAAAATCTCTTTTGTTGTGTAAGGTAACATATCTAAAGGTGATAGGCTTAGGGCTTGGACATATTTGTGGAGCCATTATTTTGGATTTCACAATGTAAATGGTGGCCAAATGAGACTTAACATTAGTCTAGTTAAATTCCTACACATCACAAAGTGAGTAAATGTATGAGGCATTCCATAAATAGTTTATGGGTAAAGGTGAAGCAAGTGTATACATAGCACTGTGAATGAAGGATCCACATTTACTCACACTGCACTGGAACTTCAGATGTTAAAGGGAAACGGTCATCTTCAAAGTAGCTGCAGAAGACACACAGATCATCTAAGAAGCAACTGGGTTAAGATGTAACTGATTTTTCCCTGTCAGCCACAGCAGCCAGAAGAGGCATAATCATCAAAGAGCCAAGAGAAAGCCAATGTCAAAAAGAAATTTGTGGCTGACAAATCCATCTTTCAAGAATAAGAGTAAACAAAACATTATCATATAAATGAAATTGTTGGGCTATTTCCAAAATGCCCACTCTAAAAATACTTACAAAGACAGAAAAATATATAAGAAAGAACAGAGAAAGCAGTAATTTTAATTTGGAATCATTGGTACATGTGAGTCAGTACAGTCATTATAAAATATTAATAATGTAGCATTCAAAGGAAAAAAGTAATATAAAATACTGTGACATGTTGTGTTATAATTTCCTTACCCATCTTCCAACCCCCTACCTGTGCCATCTATGAGGTCCAATGAAGTTTGATTCTTTTTTCTGAGATCAACTCCATAGAGTAGAGCACCAAGAATAAGTTAGGTGCTTAATGAGTTTTTACCATGTGAATAACTTTCCTGAAAGTACTTAGCACATCAGAAATTGGGATGCATAAGCACAGTTCAAAAGTGGCTGAGGAGTGACACAGAAGAACATAGTGGCATAAGAACCCTAAGGACTCCCCTCCCCGCCCCCCACAGTGACAATGTGCTTGTTGAAACATCATTATAAAATAATCTCGATGAGAGCTGTGATTGGATTGTGTTGATATATTTTTTGTAAATTGTGATAAAACATACATACTATATAATTTACCTTCTAACCATGTTTTCAGTGTACAATTTGGTGGCATAAAGCACATTTCCAGTGTTGTGTAATCACCACCAATATCCATTTCCAGAACATTTTCATCTTCCCAAACAGAAACCGTACCCATTAAAACATAACTGCCCATTCCCTGGTAACCGCTATTCTACTTTCTGTTTCTATGAATTAGCTTATTCTAGCTACCTCATATAAGTAAAATATCATATTTGTTTTCATTTCTGGCTTATTTCACTTACAGTGTTTTCAAGGCTCATCCAATTAGAATTTCATTCACTTTTGAGGCTGAATAATATTCCATGTGTGTGTGCACCGTGGGCTGTTTATCCCGTCATCCTCAATGGACACTCAGTTGCTTCCACCTTTTGGGTATTGGGAATAGTGCTGCTATGAGCCTGAGTGTGCAAATATCTGTGTGAGTTCCTGCTTTCAGTTCTTTTGACGATATGCCCAAAAGTGGAACTGTTGACTCACATAGTAATTCTATTTTCACTTTCTTAAGGAACCACTATACTGTTTTCCATGGTGGCTGCACTACTGTACACTCTCACCAGCAGTGTACAAGTGTTCCCATTTCTCCATATCTTCACCAACACTTCGCCTAGTGAAGTTTACCATATTTTTATGTCCTTATCAGCATTCCCTTTTCTTTTCTTTTCTTTTTTTTTTTTTGAGATGGAGTCTTGCTCTGTCACCTGGCTGGAGTGCAGTGGCACAATCTCGGCTTGCTGCAACTTCTGCCTCCCAGGTACAAGTGATTCTCCTACCTCAGCCTCCTGAGTAGCTGGGACTACAGGTGAGTACCACCATGCCCAGCTGATTTTTGTATTTTTTTTAGTAGAGACGGGGTTTCACCATGTTGGCCAGGATGGTCTTGATCTCTTGACCTTGTGATCCGCCTGCCTCGGCCCCCCAAAGTGCTGGGATTACAGGCGTGAGTCGCCATGCCTGATCAGCATTCATTATTTTTATGTCCTTATTGTATATGTTCTTTGGAGAATTGTCTATTCATGTCTTTTACTCATTTTTGAATGGGATTGTTTTGCTATTGTTGAATTGTAGTTCTTTACGTGTTCTAGATATTAATTCTTTATCAGATATGTGACTGGCAAATATTTCCTCCCAGTCTGTGCATTTTCTTTTGACTCTCTTAACAGTGTCCTTTGATGCAAAAAAGTTTTAAAATTTTGATGCAGTCTCATTTGTCAGTTTTCTTATGTTACTTGTACTAGTGGTCACCAACCAAGAAACCACTACCAATTCTAATGTCCATAAGCTTTTCCTCAGTATTTTCTTAAGGGTTTTACAGGTTCAACTCTTAAGGTTAGTTCTTTGAGTCATTCTGACTTTATTTTTGAAAAGGGTGTAATGGAAGGGCATGAATTTTGTCCAGCATCATTCTTTTGCATGTGGATATCCAGGTTTCCAGCACCATTTGTTGATGCACCATGTGTTGCAGTGGGGCTGACACATTGGTGAGATGCAGTGAGCACTAACACATGGGAGCACCATGCATTTATTTACCTGTCTTTCCTCCACAGTTGTTTTGAGAAGGCTTTCACTGACAAACCCAACAGAAATGAATATATATGACTTCTCATAAACTGAAATGCAAGTACAATTATAAATTTTAAAATGCTAAGACTGGAGCAAGACTGGAACATCACTAGACAAACTGAAACATAGGCTGGAATGAAGGGTTTATGTTTACCTTGCTACAAATTCTGTTGGCCCACGATCTCTTATGCTTCTTGCATAAGGGAGCCACAGAGTAGTTTGCTAGCTCATATAACCAGTCCCTGGTTTTCTGCTTCAGAAACAATTTCAAATTCTCTGCTTAGACAGAGTAAGGAAACTAACCGAAAGATGTCGAATGTGAAGTTGGCATCTACAAAGTCAAAGAGTGAGTAGTAAGTGTAAACATCAGGAATCAAAGAGATTCTACCTTTTTACACAGCAGTGGCCTCACTATGCACTGCTGAGAGGAGAAGGTCCCTTCAGGGGACCTTCATGATAAGGAAAAACGCTATATGATGTAGGGGTTTTCTGCTGCAGCCCTAAATTAAATTGTCCTTCGCTCTAAATACAGGTAAATACAGGTCTTACAAAGTTTTATGTCTTCAAAGATTTCACCTGGGCCAAGATTTTTTTTTTTTTTTTTTTTTTTTTTGAGCTGCTGCCTGGGGCTTAGAAAAGTGACTTGGATGTTTTCTCAAAATGGTATTTCTTTAATGGAATGTGAAATCCGCGAACGCTCTGCTTTCCTGCTGTATCCCCAGCGCAGGCTGAGTACCTTGCACTGCTTTTCAGCACTTCCCTGGAAGTGATTGAAGATTTGGAGGTAGGGCCTCCCTCAATCTCTACCCTTTCTTTAATTGAGAGGATCACAAGCTGTTGGGGGAAGAGTGTATCTTGGGCCTCTAGCTAATTTGATGAATATTAATATCCAATATCCTGTAATGAAGTCATGTGTGCATGTAACATTACTTCTGCATGCAGTGTCACAGGAAAGTGGGTTCGCGGACCCCAGGTTAAGACCCTAAGCACTAAACGCACAGAGCTAGAGCTCTAGGAGGGGAGGGATGGCTGGGGTGGAATCTCGTCTTGTCCTTTAGTCCTGCGATCTTTTCACTCCTTACTTGGTGGGTGCTGGGCGTCTGGCAGATGCCGATGTTGATGGAGTCGAGGCAGGGAACTGGACGGGACTGGGAAAAACAGGGTTGGAGAGATAATTAAGGCGGATATTATTTTTTTCTGAGTGTAAGTGTAAGTCATGGCTCAAAATCTGAAGAGCCTGAAAGAATATCCCCCTACTCAAACCTGTTTTTTCCTTTTCCCTCAAGCCTCATTTGGCCACAGACCCAGTGTCAACACCAGGGGGCGCCCACAGACCATGAAGGCACCACGCGGCTGGGATTGTTTGTGGTCGGCTCCCGGGTGCCTGACTTAATCAGTGGAGCCAAGACCCTGCAGCCAGGTGGCCTGGATTCAGCCTGCAGCTCTGGTCCTACTGACAGTTTCCCCCCTGGTGCCTCAGTTTCTTAATCGGTGAAATGGTGAGGACACTACAGCACTTACCTCTGGGGCGGGTTTCTCAACAGCAGCACTATTAACAGTTTGGTACAGAGAATCCCTTGTGGAGTGCCCTGTGCATTGTGGGAGGTTTGCCGGCAGCACCCCCACTCACCTCCTCCCACTAATTCCCATGTGACAACCGAAAATGTCCCGGGATTTTTAGGTCTCCCTTGGGTCTGGAAGCTGCACTTAGTCAGGCATTTTCCCACCTGACACTTGAGCTGATCTTTACTTTGGGCCACATAAGGTCACTTAAAAAAAATGTTGTTTCTTTAAAGATTCTATCCATCTTTTAAACAAATCAATTTTCTTCCTCTATGTCTGCATTCAGTTAATCCTCCCAAACCCTTTGTTTAGTATATCTCAGAATGTATCAATTCCCATTCTAGTAATTAGCGTATCTGACTTGCATGATACCTGCTATGACCCCTGGTAGAGCTCTGATTACTTTAGCACAGGGAATGTGTTCTCGATTCTGCTCTGGATGACGTAAATCAGTTTATTTTACTTGTCTGGGATGTTGCTCCTCACCTGTAAAATGTAAATGTGGATATGGCTTGGATTACTAAGTGGTTTTATTTCTTCATTCACCTGACATTGTTGTGTACCTGCTGCAAGTCAAATACATGGCATGATATTGTTTCCTTGATCACACCTCAGCAAATGAGAAAATGAGACATTATAGCAGGTGTGGCGGCACATGCCTGTCATCCTAGCTACTCGGAAGGCTGAGGCAGGAGAATTGCTTCAGCCCAGGAGTTTGAGGTTACAGTGAGGTATGATATCACCATTGCATTGCAGCCTGGGCAACAGACCCTGTCTCTGAAAAAAAGGGAAAACACAGTGTGAGCTGCCTGCATGTGCTCCATGTCTCAGGAGACTCATGTCCTGTAATTTTTCTAAATGGCATCTCCATGTGGTTTTTCATGAATGTTTGTCTGGTATTTCTATCTTTTTACTTTCAACTTTTCTATATCTTCTACTGAAATTATGGCTTTTGTAAATAGCCTATGGTTATTTATTTATTTACTTATTTATTTTTACCCCCTCTGCACTATTTGTCTTGTAATTAGAGTGTTTGAGTCCATTATGTTTAATGTAATTGTTGACCTCATTGGGATTAAGTCTATACATTGTCATTTGCTGCCTTCTAATATTATCTCTTTCTGGCTCAACTATTTTTCTTCTGTTTCCTTCTTTAGATGAATAAAAAACTTTGCATTATTGTAGTTTTGTGACTAAGTGTTCTAATTATACATCCTCTTATTATTTCTTTAATTATCTGAGAAAGCACAATAATCTGTGACTTATTATAACCAACAGCAGACCGTAACTTCCCTGACTTCCACCTGCCTGTGCAGACAGCCCAGGGGAGAATCAGTGCTCTGGCTCTGAGACACAGGGGTGGTGGAAGTAGGAGAGTGGTTGGATGATGAATCTGTAGCTGCAGAGGCATCTGGGCCCCTCACATGCATTCCTCGTAGATGTCTCCTCCACTGAATGCCTGCGATGCCCTCTCCTCTGTATGCTCCTGCCAGAGTCTCCCCATCTCCACTGACAGCAGCTCCACCCTTCTGCTCACTCAGTCCAACACTGTAGGTGCCCTTGATTCTTCTTCTCACACCACAGATAAATCCATTAGCAAGTGCTGTGAAGTCCATCTTCACATTCATCCATAATCCCTTCACTTCCCACTATTTTGCCTGCTCACACCCGAGTCAAGGTAAGCAACATCTCCATTCTGGAATATTCCACTCCTTTCCCACCGTTTTACCCACTGCCTCACTGGTCCCCACCTCTCACTTCTGTTCTTATCACAGCAGCCAGAGAGAAGCTTTCAAAGGGTAAGTCCTACCATGTCCCACTTTTCAACACTGTCCTCTAACTCCCCATGTCATTCAGAGCAAAGGTCAACATCCTTCCCACACCCTCCAGGGCTACCTGCTCTAGCCACACCTTGGACCTCACTTCAGTTTCTCTGTGTCCAGCCCTTCTGGCCTCTTCATCCTTCCAGAACACAGACAATTTCCTGCCCTCGTGCATCTGCACTGAAGGTTCCCTGCCTGAAAAGAACTTTCCCAGACATCCCTGTGGACAACTCCTCACATCCCTCAAATCTTTACTCCAAGGTCACATTTGCAACAAGGCCCATGCTGACCACCCAGCACAACAGCCACCTCCCTGTCCCCACAGCCCACACTCTGGATCACCTGCCACACAGCACTTGCCACCTTCTCACTCAAGCATTTTCTGTTCCTACTCTGCTTATACTATATCTATCATGTGCCTACAGAGGTGTCCAATTTTTTGGCTTCACTGGGCCACAGGGGATGAAGAATTGTCTTGAGCCACACAAAAAATACACTAATGACAGCTGATGGGCAGAAAGAATAGAAAAAAAATGTTCATGCATAATTTTCATGATATTTGCCACCACAGATAAGCAAAAAGTTCTCACATTCAAAGCTGTCCTGGGTCACATGCAGCGGGTTGGAGAAGCTTGCATCTAGAATATACGTACCACAAGACTAGAAATTTTTCAGTTTTTACTTTAATGATGTTTTCTAAATGCAGAAACAGTCATATCCCTAGCAGACAACAAATGTCAGTTGAATGAATGATCACTGTAGAGCACCTCTATATTCTAAAGGCAATATCTTTATTAATGTAGCCTCAGGTCAAATACTGTTTCATGGCAGCTAAAGAACAACATCATCTCACACCACCATCAGTGCCACCAGTGCTTTTCTCACCAGGGCTGCTTGTGTGTCCTCCTTCCCTTCCTCCTCCCACACCAACCCTCCTGCACACTGCAGCACACAAACATATTTGTCTGTTCAGGAAAGATAATCCTAGGCTTCTGGGTCCAATTTTCCAACCACATATGAATCTAAATTAGACTCTGCTTTATAAATGCATGAGTTTGGATTGGAGCCAGTGCTAGGATTACTACAACTCAGGGCAGGAAGAAGAGTAGGAGAGCAGAAGAGGAGTTCCAACAGAAAGTTACCTGTGATGAGAAACTATGGGACCTCTCCTCTCTGTAAATTTCAGAATCTGCTTCCTTTAAGAAGGCTGGGGAAAAAGATGGAAAATACAATCCAGGAAAGAGACCTGGAAGGAGGGCAAGAGATACAGGGGTCTGAAAATTTGTCTCTTGATACCAGAAGGACTTCTACATGTAAGAACCACCCTAGGTGACATCTAAGTCCCTGTGATCACAGGTCCTGATGGGACAAGGTTCTACTGAAGGGCCAAGGACAATGGAGCAGCAAAGATGACCCAGCCGAGCTGTGACCACATAAAGCCCACAGTGGCCTGAGCACCCACTGGGCACAGCCCCATCTACTCTCCTCCCCTACAACAAATCAGCACAAGAAACACGTGGACTCTGGAAGGTTCTCATGTCTTCCATTTATTTTGTCTCTCAAATTTTAGGAATCTTCTCCTTTAATTAACCCATCAACCTCTCATGGAAATAATTTGAAAAAAGTAAATTTATACTCAGATTCTAATTGTAATAGGGAAGCAAGAAGTTACAGCTCAGTGCACCATGAAGTTGAGACAGAGATGGAGACATCCCAGCCCCACCTCCCTGGAACAGGAAAGGTAAATGGGGGGGCGGGGGGAACACAGGTCAGCGTGGGGAAGAGGGTCATGGTAGGAAGAGGGTCATGGTGGACACGAGGATGGGGTGTTCTCCCCACCTCCTCACATTATGCCTACAGGAACACAGACACATTCAGGTGCCTTTGCAGAAAGAAAGTCAGGGTTCTTGAAGTCACAAAGAGAAGGCGGGAACAAATCTTACCTCTCAGTCCCACACAAGGCAGCTGTCTCACACTATAGAAAACATATTCATGAAAAAATTCACATCCGTCACAGTGAGGAGTGACACTTTAAACAGCCCATCACGTGCTCAATACATCCAAGTCAAAGAAATCCCATAGCACAGCTATGTCCACTGTTACCCCCAACACCCTGCACACATCAGGCCCCCCAGGGTCTCACCTTTATAAGCTGTGACAGACATACGAGAGCCCTGGGCACTTTGGCTATCTGGGGTAGAACAAAAACAGAACCTGGTCAGAGCCCACAGGAGATGTAGCTAGAGGAGGAACTGTGGGCTGGGTGAGCTCCCCCATGGGCTCCCGACCACAATATCCCAAGGATTTCAGGGATCAGCCCCCTTCATACTTACTTGCAGCCTGAGAGTAGCTTCCTCCTTTTCTATCTGTTGGAAGAAAATGTCCTGTGAGAGGTCAGAAAGGTGGCAGGGCCATGAGGTCCTAGAGAAACCTCCTAGTCTTGGACCCTCGAGAAGTTTCCAGAAATGTGTGACTGCAGACCAAGGGCAGGAGCAGGAAAAATAAGGAAAGCAGATGTAGGTCTGGGACCAACTGCCCTCCTAAGGTCTGTCCTCAGCAGGGACCTTCCCCTGACCTGTGACTGCTGGGATCAGGTCCCCATCACCACAGTCATCAACGTGATAAATCTGTCCTTCATTGTAACAGGTGCTTTACAAAAGAGTAGGTGCTGGCACACAGGGCCCAGGCTGGGTCGGCCCATGAGTGTGGATGGTGCTTCCCAGTAACCGGGAGGGCACATTTCTACCTGGGGCTTGGAACCCTCAGTGAGACAAGAAATCTCAGACCCCACCTGTCACCCCTTCCTCACCTGAGCTCTTCTTCCTCCATAGCACAGCAGCAATGACAGCTCCAGTGATGACAGCTACAAGGACAACCAGGCCAGCAATGATACCCAAGATGGGGATGGTGGGCTGGAGAGACGGCTCTGGGAAAAGAGGGGAATTTGAGGGTTCTGACCCCCAGGCCCCAGACCCGACCCTGCTAAAGGTCTCCAGAGGGGCTCCTGCTTCCTCTAAGAGACATGATCCCCCCCATCTCCCTCCTTACCCCATCTCAGGGTGAGAGGCTTGGGCAGACCCTCATGCTGCACATGGCATGTGAATCTCTGCTCCTCTCCAGAAGGCACCACCACAGCCGCCCACTTCTGGAAGGTTCCATCCCCTGCGGGCCTGGTCTCCAGGAGCTCCATGTCCTGGGTCTGCTTCTCCCCATCCCACTGCGAGGTCAGTGTGATCTCCGCAGGGTAGAAGCCCAGGGCCCAGCACCTCAGGGTGGCCTCATAGTCAAAGACAGGGTGGTGGGTCACGTTGTCTTGGGGGGTCTGAAAGGAAGAGTCAGAAAACTCGAGCACTTTGCATCTCTCATGGGACACCCCAGCAGCACTCATGTGACCGTCCTGAGAATGTACTGGACACCCGGGGTGTGGAAGGGAGCACAGAACCCAGACAGCAGCCTGGACACAGGCACCTGGGATAATCTCCTATTCCTTGGAAAGTTCTAGTCTCTGAGCGGGGGAGCAGGGACTTCTGGTCCTTACCTGAGCGGAGGCCAAGGGACTCAGAGGAGCTGGAGTCAGACCCCCACACACATTGAGTGTGAGGCAGAGAACAAGGCTTGAGGGGAAAAGTCCTGGTGCCCAAGGCTGCTGTGGGGTCAAAGGGAACTCCTGATCAGTATTCCAGGGATTGTCTTCCCCTCCACTCCCTCAGAGACTTCATCCCTTAATTGTCCCAGAGAGCAGGGCGGGCCCTCAGAGTCACTCTCTGGTACAGGATCTGGAAACCAAGGAGGATTCCTCTCCCTCAGGACTGGAGGGAGGGCGATATTCTGGTGGTGTTGCCATTTTCTTCCCCTCCTTGTGCGAGGCCAGCCCAGGAGATCTACAGGAGATCTAGGAGGCACCCTATGGCCCCTGGTACCCGCGCGCTGCAGCGTCTCCTTCCCGTTCTCCAGGTGTCTGCGGAGCCACTCCACGCAGGTGCCCTCGAGATAGGCTCTCCTTTGCTCAGCCACATTGGCCGCCTCCCACTTGCGCTGGGTGATCTGAGCCGCGGTGTCCGCGGCGGTCCAGGAGCGCAGGTCCTGGTTCAGGGCGATGTAATCCTTGCCGTCGAAGGCATACTGTTCACACCAGCGGAGGAGGCATCCATCCGGCCCCACGTCGCAGCCAAACATTACCTGGAGGGTGTGAGACCCTGGCTCAGTTCCCGAGGTCAGTCCTGCCCACCCAGCCCCGGCCCGGTCCGGCCCCTAGCAACCTGCAGAGATTTGGCCTCAACTGAAGATGAAACCGGGTAAAGGCTCCTGGGGCTCTCCAGGGTCGAGGATCTCTGCAGGTCCCGCAGCCTCGGGGTTG